TGTTTTGCCTTAATACTAACAGGCGAAATCACTGAGCACTTTGCATTCTCAGACAAAGTCACCAGACTTTTATCAGTTTTGCAGATGTGCCTGGTCAAAGCACTTTGTCACCATGTCATATGCTTTGATGTCATAGTATCGGCGCGCATCAAAGTCTCTTCTGCATTTTCCATGCCTCAGGTTCGACACACATGAAGGAGCCACTCGAGCGATAATCACCATGCACGGCAAGGATGTGGCCGATCAACCGTGCAAGTGCTCCTGGAGCAAAGAATGCAGCGAAAATGAAAGAGGAATAAATCAGGTTACACACTTTTATGTTGGAATTGCAATGTTGAATTTATCAATTAATCGTATTTTAGAGATTAAGACACAACATGCCCGAAGCGTGATGTGGACATTAGTAGCCGTTATGTCCACCACTGCAGGAGAAGTTGGCTTGCTTTTGCAGACCATGTCATGCAGCCCAAAGACGACGCGTTAACTTTGCTTTGACTTTAACTAGGACTCATCAACGCACTAAACGGGTTGTGAATGTGTAGAGTGTGGGTCGGTGGGAGGACAGACAGCTATTTTGTCACAAGATCGCAAAATCAAAATATCTGTTGCTGTGTTAGTAGAACTGGAGTACAGACACACTGCAAAACATTCGTTTGAAATAGAATAATAAAATAAGGAAATGCATAATAAATAACGAAATAATAAAATAAATATGACAATTTTATTTGAATCTTTTATTCATTAATTTCCCAGTTGTTCATATTTACTGATGAGTACAAGCTTAAACGCTCCTCTAACGTAATGCTTATCATTAAAGAGTGAAGCACAAAGAGTGAGTCAGTGGAAGTATAAAAAATAATAAGACTCGTCAACTCATCAAATAATGATATATTTAAAAATGCAATTTTCTCTAATTTGCATCTAACTTGAAGCCTAATGATTTGAGTAAAACATTTTTTAAGTCGTGAGTTCATGATTGGCCAACAAGGACTGGATTCCTTCATAATTTCTTATAATGATTCTCAATAAATGTCATATTTCTTAAGTACATTACGAAAGCTTTAAATTTAGCAGAGGGAGAATAGAAATATTAGTGATTCTATGCCTGAGCCAGAGATTTCGTTACAATTGTTTGGGCCCTGGTTAGATTAGCGTCATTTAGGAAAAGATACTTGTATTCGTAAGAGAGATTATAGCGATACTGGTATCTTAAAGATGGTTCGTCCATCTTAAGCTTTGTATGATATTGTCCGTCAAGCATCACCGTATCTGGACCATAATTCGTTTTGTGTGATGATGAATAAAGGTTAGATTTCTCAGAACACTATGTATTTGTCGGAGGGCGAATAAAATAACATTTTTGGCCTTTTGTAATTTTTACTAAATACTGCATTTGTAAGCGCAAAAATATACTAAAACTCTGGATATTTGGGGGAATATTTGTTTGATCATAGTTTGGTTGAGATTTACGGCACTTTCCGGGTATGCTTAAAAACTAGAATCCCTTTGAAGTAATGGCTGTGCATAAAATGGGATCGGCGTTTTCTCGCTCTAAGTATATGAAGTGGAGGAAATATGAATTGGCATTTCTATTTATTAAATTCTGACAAAGCGAGAACAAATTTTGTTCATCTAAACATGGAAAAGGCAAGCAGCAATTAAAAATGAAAGGCATTTTTATTTACCATGTCAAACGAGGCTAAAAGCAAGTTTCGATATCACGACTACAGATTACCTATAAAGATTAATTGAGAAACCTGGCGATCATAGTCTCCATTAGGGGGGAAATATGTGAGGTCCAAACTTGGCCTTAATCAGAATGTGTGTTGGAAACAAGTCAAGTCACTGATCTCTATGATTATCTTGACGCTTCTATTTTGCCTCTTAGTTCATTCATCATCCAGTTAAGAATACGCTCTCCGGCTAAGAAGGTATTACTCAATGTAGCTGTTACCACAGCTACAATTGAATTTAAAGACAATTTTAAGTAGACATCAGGGCTCCATTCTTTCAATCTAAAAGCACAAAGGCAATTTCGCTCCAACACTAGACTCGAGGATATTAATGAGGATGGAGCATACTGTTGGCAGTGAAAATACTACCCTTAGTAAATATGACAGAGTATATTAAACAAAACTATG